GGACAGAAAGTGACTTCTATACTTTTAAAATTTATGCAAAACTTAGGAGGTCTTTAGACCGAGCCAACTATATTATATTTAGTGATCCCTGAAATTTTTGGTAATACTAATACCAAATGTTCACTTTGTCTGATTTTGTTGCAAGCATGCCCCATTTATTATTACGAATCATCCCAATTCGATCGATAGATGATCAACAATCAACATATGAACCTTTTTTCGAATAAAAAAAAATTGGGGAGAGGAAGTTCATTGCAATATCATTGCAAAGCAATTGCAATTGCAATTGCAAAGAACTGAATATTTGCCGTACGACTCGAAATTCGCTTTAATAAGGTGAAAATGTTGATCGCAAAATCGACAAAAAATTACGAAATTTAGAAAAAGACAGTAACACGGCAAATTTTCTTAAAAAAAATGCATCGTTGTGGCACATGAATCAGATTTAATCCCCAAATTCTTTATGAAATTTGAAAATTATATTTTGTTTATTTTATGGGGAATATTGACATTGAATCACTTGAACCACTGAGGCCAACTGAAGAAGAAGAACATACTCTTAATGCATTATTTAGTTATAAGGCTGCTCTCAAAGATTCAGCGTTCTACATTACTACACCTTCACCGGCAGTAGGTAAAAAATATAATAAAATGATTCAACTAATGTTTGATATCAAATCATAATTAGTTTTTTTAATATATAGAGGTCCAAAGATATTCTGATCAATTCAAGCGAAAACGACCAAATCATTCTTTAAAAGATCTAAAAACAGGTAAAAAAAGGAGAGAGAGTAGTAGATTTATTGCTTCATAAAATTAATCAAATAACAAATATGTATGCTTAATGTTTAGACTTGAAGTTTTTTCCCGAAGAACTACGGATTATTAAGAATGATTCGCTAGCTTCAACCAGTGTACTCAAAGGTATGTATGCATATACATATTTACACAAGCATCAGCTTTATTTATTTCAATTATATTTCAACGTATTTGTTAAAACATTTCCGACTATTTAATAGAAAATAATAAAAGGGTTCATTTTGATTTGGATAAAACTCTTGGTGATTTGTTAGAAGAAGAAGAAGATCAAGAGAGAACAAAAAAATTAAAGGCAATTTTTATAAAGCTTCACATCAATATCAACATATCCAATTATATTATTAATAAAATTGCTTGAAATTTTTTCAGGTGG